AAGCACAAGTGAACGACTGCTCCACCCTCTGTTGTCTTCTTCTCCCTAGCGATTCCAGCAGGCTGTTCCCTACCTTCTCCTGGACTTCTTACTGTACTGGGAACGGAGCTGCCAATAGGCTGTAAATTCCACTAAGCCTCCCAAAAGGAAGCCCTCCCAAGGGCAGTGACTCTGCAGCTTTCCCACCACACTGGGCAAAATCTTCCGGCTGGCCAATCTAATTTGTACTGAACTTTGTCTATCCTGTCTCTGGGCAGGAACAGACCTGGCCAGGTATGTGTGCCAGGCCTCAGGCTGGGCTCCCCATGGGGGAGGAAGAAGGACGGTCAGGGGCAGCCTCAGTCACATAAGTGGCTTAGTCCAGAACTGCTTCCTTTGTCTCCTCTCCTGACTTCTGAGATTCCTTTCCTGCCCTCTCAGAGGTCTCAGTCTCAGGTTCCACGGCTGCCATGATCTACCAGATCCTCAGTGTGACGCCTGGTTCCTTTCACTAGGATCCGGAGCTTGTCCTGGACCATTCACCCATGTCCTCAGCAGACCTAGCATAGAGCACACAGGTAGGGTCCCCCAGTGCTTGAATGGGAACTGTGGTTCGTGCTGATCGGCCTGTAATAGAGCTGGGCTTAAAGCTCCATGGAGGAGGAGGGTGGACTTCAGGTCGGAGTAGTACCTGAGCAGGTGAGGCAGGAGCTAGGTTATCTCTAGTGGAATGGTTTAGGTCATCACAGGGGACCCAGAGTCTGAGTTGGGAATGTGCTGAGGAGGCCACCCTGCAAGAAGCTTGGGTGTTACTGGGTACAGGCAGGGCAGGATGGCTTCCTAGGGAGATGGAAAGAACGAGCTGTGCTGAAAGCTAAGTCCTGCAAACTCTCTTTTAGTTCTGCTTGGTAGAAACAGTCGCACCCCTCCCCAATGCCCACCTCCGTTCCATCCCCACAGAGAGAAATAGAAGGCCAAATGGGAATAGGCTCAACATCATAGAATTGGCAGGAGGATACAGCATGGCACCTGGGAGTGGGGCCATCAACTGGAAAACAAAAATGTCCCGACTCTGTGACACAGGCTGGATGATTAGCACACAGGGAAAACCATGAGCTAGCATTTTGCAACAAAGCTGGCAGGCAGCCGAGATGTTGATCCCAGGGCTCATGCTCCAGAGGGGACATAGCCCTCCCCAGGCCAGGCTGGCGCTCGGGGCAGCTATTTCAGGATGGGGGGATTAAGGCCAGAGTGCAACAAATGCACACACACCCACATGCACGGGCACACCCACACATGCCCCCTCCTCTCTCCTCTGCTGTACTGGCTCCCCGGTCCTGGTCTTTGCAGCCAAGGGTCTCCTTCCCCGGAGAGCCCATGCCTGCCTCCGCCGGCCTCAGGGACACAAGCCTGACCTGGGAACCGGAAGGGCACGACCGCCTCCCCTTCCCCTCCCTCGAGTACCCTGGCCTTTGCGCCGAGCAGAGCCCTCTGTCTCCGTGCACTGTGGCTGCCATTTCTCCTTCCATTCTCTTCTGCCCGTCATTCTCAGGATCACCTCCATGCCCAGAGTCTGTGTCTCTTCCTGTCTTTCTCTTCCGTGTTCTTTTTCTCCCATACATCAGCCATCTCTAACTACTTCTGAATGCTTAGCTGACCCTCTATGTTTCTTTTTCTTCAGCTCTGTGTGTGTGTGTGTGTGTGTGTGTGTGTGTGTGTGTGGTACCAGGGATCGAACTCAGGTCGTTGCACTTGTGAGGCAGGCAGTGGAAGCACTAGCTAAATCCCTGGCTATATTTGTTTTCATTCCTTTCTCTTTCTCTTTTCTCTCTCCTTTCTACTTTTTCTTTCCTACGTGTCCCCCCCCCCCGCTATCTCTGTTTTTTGAGACAAGGTCTTCCTTTGTCGTTCAGGATGGCTCTGAATTCACTTTGTAACCCAGGCTAACCTTGAATTTGCAATAATCCTCCTGCCTTGGCCTTCCAAAAGCTGAGATTATGGGCAAGCACCACCATGCCCAGCTCCCCCGACACCGTTGCATTACAACTGGCCACTTATCACATCCAAGACCGTAGCTGGGACCCTCAGGGAAGGTACAAGACTCTGAAGGAATGTGTCTATTTTAAGAAAATATTAGCAAGCAGAAGCCTGGACAACTGTTTTAAGGTTCATAATAAAGTGATTTAGTGACTTCAGATCTATAAAACACTGTCTCAAACTCCAAAAACCTGTGTTATCTAGGAGAGGTAAATGAGAGCAATATAAATGCCTGTCATCTAATCACACGCGATATTTGCAGTAACAATGGTTTAGTGGTTTGACGTGGGTTGAGAGAAGGAAGTCACTCTGGATGGGAGATCAGGGAGGCCGCCCTGGGAGAGGAATCTCAGTACCGCCCTTGGGAAGGAGCTGGTTTGGGCCTGCACAGAGGTGGGCCGGGGCGGTGTCCCCAACAGAAGGCGCAGAGCAATAGTTGCAGCACCTTCAGCAGCCCCACTGGCCCAGGGTGGGAGGCCGAGGATGCACCCAGGAGGGCTGTGTCAGGCAGGCAGTTGTGCCATCGGGATGGGTGAGCAGAAGACCTGGAGAGAGCCTTAGGAATATGAATCAAATGGCTGAGCTGGGAGGGGCGCGGGTGTGGCTAGGAAGACAGGTAGCAGCCCAGGAAGCTCCCCCAGCGACCAGAGGGCCACTACCCCATGTACCCACTGAAGCCTGAGTGCAGGAGGGGCAGCAAGCAGTCAGAGGGTATGAAGGGCAAGTTTGAGTGACACCAAGTGGTGATAGTTGTGAGTATCCTTTTCCCTCATCTGTTCTCCATTCAATTGTATGAGTTCCATTTCCCCCCGAGGAGCAGAGGCTTTTCTGCAGGGACAATGCCAGAACCAGCCTCACCCTCTGGCAGAGATATTATGCTCCCAGTGCTGGGAACCAAATTTCCTCCCTCTTTCCTGAAAACTCAGAGGTGCCCGCCTAGTGCTGCCATCCCCCGGGAGGGCTGATTCTTGCAGCCTAAGACCATGATCACCCAGAGCCTACATTCTCCAGTGACCCTGCTTCCTGATGCCTCGCTTGTCAGCCTCGGATCCCCAACCCTGAGGGGCCAGTGTGGCTGCGAAGCACTTGTGCCTCCTTCCTTCCTCCTCCACCACGGTACACCCCCAAGCCCAGAGCTCCAGGTAGAGTCAGAGGGCCCAGGAGGGGAAATCCGGGGCCTCTCCAAGGACCTGATTATTTCCAAAGACTTGTGCTAATTTTCTGATATGATCCTCACATCTCTGTGAGGCACTAAATCCTCATTACTTTTCCTGACCGATGCATTCTAATTAGATCAACACTTAAAAAAAATTCACAATAGCCACAGGATGGCTTTCCATCTCATTAACTCCTCACTTATTATTTTCATGAAAATTACTGATAAAAATGTGCATCTCCATTTGGTGAGGCCTCACAGCCTCCTCAGCTCCTATCTTACATCTCTCCCGTCACCGGGGCTGTGCAGCATCACCATGGTAACTCACAATAATAGAAACTAATAAATTACAAACGAGATGCTCGTTGAGCAATTATTGTCCTCTTTTATGCAAGTTTCTTGCTAATTTTGATCATAAGGGAAAGTACAATAAGACTCTGAAGGAATGAGTCTATTTCAAGAGAATATTAGCAAGCAGAAGCCTGGGCTGCTGTCTTTTGATCTGTAATAAAGTGATTTGGTGATTTCAGGCACGAGGAAGAGGAAATAAACTTCTTGCCCTGTGTCCTAGGCACTGCTCACTCCCGAGTCCCACAGAGACCCCGCTGGGGTGCATTTGATGCGATACTGAATGGATTTTCAGGGCCTGTGGTCACGGTGGGCAGCACTGGCCTGCTCAGGGTCTGCCTGCCCCTCCTCTTCCCCAACAGTCTGGAGGCCCTGATAGGCCTCCTGGGGACAAGAATGGCACAGCCTTCCTGTGGCACCCTGCTTGCCACCTCTCCCCATTCATCCTCAGAAAGTCTCCCTGGAGACCCCCACTTGATTGGCCAAAGAGACATGGCTTCTGCGAGCTTCTCGGGGCCTCTGAGGGTGTTGTGAGCTCAGGAACTCAGGGAAAGGAAACGCAGTGGCGAGCCGCGGGATGTGTAGATGCCAACAAATGTGGTATGAAGGCGTGACAGGCAACTTTCTTCATTTACTAGTTTGAGGAAAACATTCTGCCCTGATGAGAAGGGGGCATCCTTTCCCACAGTGCGTGGGCCCCATTTCCTCACCTCCAGTGCCTAGGGGGAGGTGGAAAGGCAGTCTTGGAAGGCGTAGACTGAGTCACATTTACAGTGGGCCTGGAACCTCAGCGGGGCAGAGGTGCCAGGGCAGGGTGAGCACCTAAAGAATGACTAAGGAAGCCAGGTGTGGTGGCACACGACTGTAATCCCAGCACTCGGGAGGCTGAGGCAGGAGGATCACCGTGAGTTTAAGACCAGCCTGGGCTACATAGTGAGTTCCAGGTCAGCCTCAACTACTTAGTGAGACCCTGTCTCAAAAAAAAAAAAAAAAAAAAAAAAAAAAAAAAAAAAAAAAAAAATTGAGATTAGCAGATGATTTAAAAAAAAAAGAATGACTAAGGAAAAACAATCCTGTGGAAGGGTCTTCATCTGTTAAGAGGGCAGGATTTGGGGAAGGACCTAAGCCTCCTTTCCAGGAATGCACACTGTTTACCAGTTAAGCCTTCCACAGAGAAGCTCTTGGCCAGAAGGTCTAGGCCGACCCTCAGCTCCTCCTCTGAGCAAGTGCCCTATCTCCTTAGTGTGGGAGCTTGTTCATTTCTTGGGAGATCTCAGATCAGGAAGTTGGTAATTGTCCCTCTGATATCTGGTCATTTTTTAAGGCACACTGATCCCTGGCAGGTGAGACTGCAACTAATGGGTAAAGGAGTGAGGTAAAAGCATCCAATAAATTAATCCCTTTTCATAGGTCACCGGAGGACTCTCTGACCTTCCTGCACACCTGGCTTAGGGAGAGAGGACTCAGCCGTGTGTGTTACCTGTGAGTGAAGGTTTATAGAGGGCTGGTTGGGGGAGTAGGGTCCCCCGAGGTCATTCCTGAGCAGGTTATCACTGTGCATCTTGGTTTTGAGGCAGGTGATATAACGGTTGCAAAAGTCCTTGCAGAGTTCATTGACTTTCTCCAACTCCAGCAGGTGGATCCTCAGCACCTGGATTGCTTTCACCATCTGGGGAGAGGTCGGAGAGGTAAGCCCATGTGTTGTACCATAGTCCCCTCACTTCCCAGACCCCCAACCCTACCATAGCCAGGGAAAGGATCCCATTCCCGCCGTTGTCACACGCTCTCTCTTGTCCACATGATTGAAATTCTCATCACAGCCCTCTGCTGACTCTTTGCCTGCTTGGAGTCCACTGGCATCACACCTGTTCTGAGGCCATTGTGGAATTCTGAGGAAAGGACTTAGAGGTAGGGCCCAGGGCCTGCCATTTATTATTTGTGTGACTGGGCAAGTTGTTTCGGATCTCTGTGCCTTAGTGTCTAACACTTTGGGGATAATTACATTGTCCCTAATGACTTTACAGGTTCACTGAGGGGATCAGCTGAGGGGATATACATGGCACGCTGCTGAGTGTGAAGTACAGCACAAGTGTGAGGAGCTGAGATCAGAGTTCCCCATACAAGCCCGCAAGGTTGGGACTCTCTATTCTTAAAGCCCTGTCCCCAGTGGCCTTGTGTGATGCAGGTTACCTTGCAGGATCCCCGCTGATACTTGCTGACTGACTGGGTAATCCAGAAACACTCAGCTGAGCACTGGTGTCTGTTTCTGTGCCTTTGGATTGTGACCTGTACGCCTGTTCCTCTTCACAGTGACATTCCTAGCCATAACATGGCAAGAAGATACTTTGCAATTGAAACTTTACTCTATGGTGTGTTCTTTTCATTAAAAAGGAGCATAGAAAGGGTGGAAAAAAAAAAACAAACTATCTTTGGTCCAGCCTCTACAAGGCTTTGTTGTTTTTTCCATATACACATTTTAACCTACTTTCAATAATCTTGTACATACAATATTATTCCCGTTTTCCACTTTCATTTATCAAATGTATCATCTAAATGAATTGTATTCTCTCTTCTAAATTGAGAGCTTTGGGAAGGCAGGGGCAATGTCTGATTTGCTCACTGTATTATTTTCAGTACCAACACACAGGAATATGGAATAAATATTTGTTGAATGGGTGAAAATTCTTGAGTGAATATATTTTTAATTGTTGTGTACCATTCTATATGTGTGCCATACTAAATGCGCCATATTATTGGACATTTAGATTATTTCCGCTTTTATGAAAAAAACGTTTCAGTGACAATTTTCTAAGCTTATAGTTGTCCCCCCACCTGTCACCGCATTTTCCTTAGAATGAATTCCTAGAAGTGAAGCTATAGACATTCTTAAGGCTCATGGTAAATAAAACAAAACTACTTTTCAACAGGAGTTGTTCAAATGATGCTTGAACAACTGCACATCCATTAAAAAAAAACTGAAGTCTGATTTAAACCTTACATGTTATATAAAAAAAATCAAAATGGAAAAAAAACCTAAATGCAGGTACCAAACACTTTTAGGTAAAACAAAAACAAAAACAGAAGCAAATCTTTCAGATCTTGGGTTAGGCAAAGAGGTTTTAGACCGACAGCAAAAGCATGACTTAGAAATGGAAAATGGGAAACTGGGATTCGTCAAATTTAAAATGTTTGCCCTTCATCAGACCCTGTGAAGAGGATAAAAAGACCACCAACTATGAGACAATATTTGCAAACTACCTATTTGACAAAACACTTGTATCTAGAATACATAAAGGCCTCTCAAAACCAAACCAGTCCCAAGCAACCCCGTTAGCACCTGGGCAAAAGACATCCACAGACCTTTCACTGGAGAGGATCTGCAGATGCCAGAGAAACACATGAGAAGATGCTCAGTGCCATTAGCCATTAGGGAAATGCAAACTAAAACCACAATGAGGTGTCACTGCATACCCAACAAAAATGAGTGATAATACTCAATGCTGGTGAGGGACCGGAAACTAGATCAGTCATACATTGCTGGTGGGAATGTAGAATGGTACCCTCTTAAAAATGGTCTCTCTCTCTCTCTCTCTCTTTCTTTGAGATAGGATCTCTCTTTGTAGTTCAGGCTGGCCTTGAACTCACAGCAATCCTCCTGTCTCAGCCTCCCGAGTGCCACGATTACAGGTATGCGCCACCATGCCCAGCAGTTTCTTATAAAACTAAATATGTGCTTATTATGTGACTCAGCAATTGTACTCTTGGCATTTATCCCAGAGAAATAAAAATGTATGTTCACACAAACACTAGTCCGTGAATGTTTAAAGCAGCTTGATTTCTAATAGCCCCAAACTGGAAATAACCCAAATATAGTACAACAGGTGAATGGATAAAGCATCTGTAGTGTATCTACAAGGAGACTGAAATACACTGTGAATGCCTGAATAAAACATTGTTACAATAAAAGACACATTATCATTAATTCCCTCAAAAAGATTCCCCCTTGATTTGGACACTTTTATCCCATTGTTCCTGCCACTTTCTGAAGCAGTTCTGAAAGTCCTCTTTTGTGAGTGTCTTTATGAGGTGTCATAAAAATTACGGTGAATGATGGTGCTGAATACCATCCAAGGGAAAGGCAGACTCATAAAAATATTACAGTGTGTCCTTATCCACTTTACTCAACAGATCTGGCACCGTGCAACTTCTGGCTGTTCTCCAAAGTCAGAATGATCATGAAAAGTAAATGTTTTGAATTGATTCAGGACATAGAGGCAGCCACGACAGTGTAACTAAGAACACTCATTAAAGAGGACTCCAGAACTACTTCAGGAGGTGGCAAGAATTGTGAGATAAGTGAGTTTGAAGTGAGCCTTTTACTGTAATACATTTCTAAAATTCAAGTGTTCACCTTCTTCTCTGATCACACTTTGTGTATCATGGACTATGTCTTAGCCATTAGAAGGACTGAACTATTGATTTACTCAACAACTCAGATATGTCATAAGATAATTATGCTGAGAGAAAAGCCAATCTCAAAGGATTATATACTGTACAGCGTTATTTATATAACATTCCTGAAATGATAAAAATCACAGAGATGAAGAACAGATTAGTGGTTGACGGGTGAAGGGAAGGGGGAAGAACTGTTTTGTACTTTGACTAAAACAGTGATTACATGAGTTTACACATGTGATACAACTGCATAGAACTAGACACACATACGCACACACACACACACACACACACACACACACACATACCATGCAAAAGTAATGAAACCCGAACAAAGTTGGTGGATTGTTCTTGCTAATGAAAGGTGGTATGCTTGTGCAAGAAGGAAACTAGGATCTCTTTGTATTAGTTCTTATATTGCATGTGAACTTATTATTACATCAAATAAAAAGTAAAATGATAGGCGTGGTGGCATACGCCTGTAATTCCAGCACTTGGGAGGCTAAGGCAGGAGGACAGAGAGTTTAAGACCAGCTTGGGCTACATAGAGAGCCCCAGGCCAAGCTGCATTACATAGGGAGCCCCTTAAAAGAACAATGTCAGGATTTATTGTAGGGACTTATTGCCAATCCAGTTAAGTTGACATAGCAGTACATGCAAGTGCATTTAACCCTACCTTCCCTGCTTTTTGCTAGGATTTTGATTATTAAGATTTGCTTTTGCTTGAATTTTTGACAACTTTGGCCATGAAAACCTTGGGGTTATGCCTCTCAAAATAAGTAGTACATTATGAGGTGCTAAATAAACTTGTTGATGAATTGATAACAGCACCCAAGTGTTTCTCACTCTTACTGTGTCTCAGGCACTGCCGTAAGCCCATTCCATGTTTATCTTATTAATTCCATAGGGCTATCTCTGCAGGTAGGTATCCTTACTGCCCACATTTTACAGTTGAAGAAAATGAAGTAGGAGTCATCCCGGAGTGATTTGCTTCACCCTTAATACAGACTCTGAGGATCTGGATATAGGCAGAGAGTATGGCAGTCTAGAGGGTGGTTGGGTTGGGAGGAAAGCAGCTCAGTGACAAGAAGTATGAGGTTCCAGGAAAACCTAATAGCTTTTGGGACAATATGGATGAGGATATCCAGAATCCTGTGGTAACATTCCCTCATCTGGCTGCTTGATTTCCCACCTCCCACTCCAGAGCTTAGAATACCTCCCCAGCACAAGTGACTGTTTCTTGTGTGTGAAAAGAGATGGACAATGAGGGAGATTCCACTGTCTGATACTCTGGACACTATGAGGCTTCGGCCCTCAGCTCCCTGGAAGTGTTGCAAGGGCCCCCACAAGATGATCCAGGTCAGCCTGAGGCGAGGATGGTGCAAATGCACCGAGACACAAGGCCGCACCTTTTCCCTAAGCTGTTCCTGTCACTGCTGCAGGGCCTTGGGCCATTTTTGTTTTCTCAACCTGCTGATGAAGAAGCTTTCCTTACATCTGACCCACATCCCTCCCGCCTTAACGCACAGGGTGTACTCAGCCTCTGTAGGCACCAAGCTCCGCTATCACCTCCATCAGCGCAGCTTCCCTTCAGACGGAGCCTCCCTGAATGCCACACACCTGAACGACCATCTCACCTGAAAATGTTGTTCCATCAGCTTTTTCTTCTCCAGATAAAAGTAACCCTAATTTCTATTCTTTCTCTTCCCTTTCCCTCTGTGTCTCTCATCTCCTGCCTTCTTGCTTGCCTTCCTTCCCTTTCTCCTTTCCTTCTTCTTCTCATCTTTTTGTTGTTTGTTTGTTTGTTTTGGTGCTGGGGATGGAAATCAGGTCCTCGTGAATGCTAGGCAAGTGTTCTACCACTGAGCTACATCCTCAGCCTGGTTTTGATTTTTTTTTTTTTTTTTTTTTTT